CTCTTTCAGTGTGAATAGATCAGTGAACAGCAGGACAGCTTCAAAACGTAGGTATTGGCCAGAGCCATGCTGATTCTGACTCATGGCGACTCCATGTGTATAGAGTAGAACTGCTCCATAGGGTTTTCAAGGCTGTGACCATTCAGAAGCAGATCATCAGGCCTGTCTTCCATGGCACCTGCACAGGTTTTGAACCACCAACCTTTTGGCACTTAACCATTTTCACCACCCAGGGATTCCTCCCCAGAACTATATGTGTGTTAAAATATCAAAAGCTTCCATACTGGTTGTTAAATGACTTGCACTCGCCTGTCTCTCCTCCCCAGCCCACCTCTACACAATCCACACTCTGGCCTGGGTCTGTTCTGATTGGTTGGTGTCCGGGTGTGACAAATTGTTAAATGTTTTGACCATCACCACTGGGTAAGAATTCAACTAAGTGTCAAGAGTAGAAAACGCAAACGCCTACACCATAGGAGTGGTGGGGGTCTTGGGAAACTGGAGTGCGCAGTCCCCTTCCCAAAGGAGGCTGCTGCTCACCTCAGCCAGCCTGTCTACCAGTTTGCCAGACCTTCCCATTGTTCAAGACAAGCTGGAAATTCTGAAAGCAGATAAAATATCCCAAATTAGAAATGTTAGCCCAAATTTTAAAAGAATTAAAAAAGCCCTATTTGGGCCAAACAAAACACAGCCGAAGACTGTATCTGGGCACTACTTTAATCTCTGTCACTGTTTGATGGTGAGCCCTTAAAAACAAAGCTTAGTCATAGGCAATAGAGAACCAACAGATCCAGAAGAGAAAAGCTACATGATTTCAGTGTTATTGTATAAAAGTAAAATGAATTGCAATAAATTGTACAATTCTCTGGCTTCCAATTCAAATTTAACTTTATGAACTTTTTCCTTAACTTCTTTGAATTTAGACTTGATCTCTTTTCTGTAACACGAAAATCTTGGCTCCTAACAACATTGATATAATAACTTATTTTCTTGGTCCCACTTTACATACAATAGCTTTAAAATAATACTACCTATTTTTTCCTCATTTAAAAAAAGTTTTATTGTGGTGAAATATATATACCAAACATTTGCCATTTCAAACATCTTTACATGTACAATTCAGTGATACTAATTACATTCACCAGGTCTTACAACAATCACCCTTAACAAAATTTTCCCAATTTTTTCATCACCCTTAACAAAAACTCTGTACCCCTTAAGCAATAACTTCCCCTTTACCCCTGCCACCCACCCTTGGAAAGCACTAGTAACCTTTGGTCTCTATGCATTCGCCTATTCTGGATATTTCACATAAATGGGATCATACAATATTTGCCCTTTTGTGACTGACTTATTTCACTCAGCATAATGTTGTCAAGGTTCATCCATGTCATAGCATTTCTCTTTATGGCAGAATAATATTCCATCGTATGGATATACCGTAACTTGTTTATCCATTAATCAACTGATGAACGTTTGTGTTGTTTCTACCTTTTGGCTATTGGGAATAATGCTGCAACGAATATTGGTGCACAACTGTATGTTTGCATCCCTGTTTTCAAGTCTTATAGGTACATACCTAGGAGTGGAATTGCAGGGCCATACGGTAATTCTACGTGTAACTTTTTGAGGAACCGCCAAACTGTTTTCTACAGCGGCTGCATCTTTTTACAATCCCACCAATGAATGGATAAGGGTTCCAATTCCTCTACATCCTCACCAACACATTGTTTTCCGTTTTTCTGGTAATAGCCATCCTAGTGGGTGTGAAGCGTTACCTCATTGTGGTTTTGATTTGCATTTCCATGATTACTACTGACATTGAGCATCTTTTCCCATGTTTATTGGTCATTTGTATATCTTCTTTGGTGAAATGTCTATTCAAGTCTTTTGCCATTTTTTGATTGGGTTGTTTGTCTTTTTGTTGTTGAGTTCTAGGAGTTCTTTATAAATTCTGGATATTAAACCTTTATCTGACATATGGTTACCAAATAGTTTCTCCACATCTGTAGGTTGTCTGTTCACTTTGTTGATAGTCCTTTGATGCACAAAATTTTAAAGTTTGATGAAGCTCAATTATTTGTTTTGCCTTTTGTTGCTCCTTCGTTTAGTATCATATCCATGAGTCCACTGTTGAAAACTAGGTCCCCCTCTTGTGTTTTGTTCTAAGAGTTGTATTGTTTTACTTCTTACACTTAGGTCTTTGATCCATTTTGAGCTAGCTTTTGTATTTGGCGTGAGGTATAGGTCTAACTTCATTCTTTTGCATGTAGAGATTCAGTTATCCCAGCACCATTTATTGAAGAGACTATTCTTTCCCTATTGGGTGGACTTAGCACCCTTGTTGAAAATCAGTTGGCCATAGATGCATAGGTTTATTTCTGGACTCTCAATTCTATTCCATTGGTCTATGTGCCTATTATTATACCAGTACCAGAGTGTTTTGAATACTATAGCTTTATTACATGTTTTGAAGTCAGGAGGTGTGAGTCCTACTACTTTGTTCTTTTTCAAGATTGTTTTGGCTATTCGGGGCCCCTTGCAATTCCATATAAATTTGGAGATTGGCTTTTCCATTTCTGCAAAGAAGGCTGTTGGAATTTTGATGGGGATTGTATTGGATCTATAGATCACTTTGGGTAGTGCTAGGGATTGAATTGTGTCCCCCCAAAATATGTGTTGTAAATCCTAACCCTTTTACCTATGGTTATAATCCTATTTGGGAATGGGTTTTCTTTGTTACGTTAATGAGACAGTATTAGTGTAGGGTATGTCTTGAGTCAATCTCTTTTGAGATATAAAAAGAGCAGATTAAGCAAGGAAGCAGAGATGGGGGAAGAGAAATGCTACACAACATAAACATCACCAAGGAACCAAGGAACAAGGACCTTCCGCCAGAGCTGACAGAGAGAGAAAGCCTTCCCCTAGAGCCAGCGCCCTGAATTTGTACTTCTAGCCTCCTAAACTGTGAGAAAATAAATTTGTTTGTTAAAGCCATCCACTTATGGCATTTTTGTTACAGCAGCATTAGATAACTAAGGTAGTATCAACATCTTAACAATATTGTCTTCCAATCCATGAACATGAAATGTCTTTCCATTTACGTCTTCTTTAATTTCTTTCAGCAATGTTTTACAGTTTTCGGTGTCCAAGTCTTTCACCTCCCTGATTAAATTTATTCCCAGGTATTTTATTCCTTTAGATGCTATTGTAAATGGAACTGTTTTCTTAATTTCCTTTTCAGATTGCTCATTGCTGGTGTATAGAAACCCAATTGATTTTTGTGCATTGATTTTGTACCCTGAAATTTTGCTGAATTCATTTATATTAGCTCTAGTAGCTTTCCTGCGGATTCTTTGGGATTTCTATATATAGGATCATGTCATCTGCAAACAGGGATGGTTTTTCTTTTTCCTTCCCAATTTGGATGCCTTTTGTATCTTTTTCTTGCCTAAGTTCTCTGGCTAGGACTTCCAGCACAGTATTGAAAGCAGTGGTGAGAGCAGGCCTTGTTCTATGGATCGCTGATGATGCAGTGGTTAAGTGCTCAGCTGCTAATCTAAAGGTCAGCTGCTGGAACCCACTACCTGCTCTTTGGGAGAAAGATGTGGCAGTCTGCTTCCATGAAGGTTACGGCCTTGGAAACCTTATGGGATAATTCTACTCTGTGCTAAAGGGTGACTATGAGTCAGAATCGACACGATGGCAATGGGTTTGGTTTTTGGTGAAAGCAGGTATCGTTGTCTTGTTCCCAATTTTAAGGGGAAAGTTCTTAATCTTTCTCCATTGAATATGAGGTTAGCTGTGGGTTTTAATACTACCCTTATTAACAGTAATCCTACTAAATGAAATTTAAAATTTCTTTACAGTTTGATTTGTTCTTAGAATATGTTCCATTGTGGATATACAGTCTGAACTGTACTTAATACCAAACGCTTTTGCCCATGTGGTAAGAAGTCTGAATCCAGGTTTCCTCCTGTGCTAAGTGCTGGGGGCACCTATGCTGACGAACGAAAAGCTTCTCCCAGAATTGCTTTCCGTTGGTGTTAGAAATGATAGCCCACAAGGAGACAAAACACATTTTTGCAGAAGTCTTGGAAGGCAACTTTGCTGTCTATCCCCACGCATGAGGGCACAGCCCTGTGGGGAGAGACCTTTGTTTTAGGAGAGTTGTAGCTGTCTGCCAGCCTGTCCCATTTTCCTCTCCCTTGGGGGCTGGGTGAGAGGAGGAGGAATGTGTGGGTTTTCTGAAGCACTGGACTGAATTCAGGCCTGGAGATACAGACTTAAGTGGTCATCTGCATCAATGTGAATCGGGGAGTGGATGAAATTGCCTACTAGGGAGAGTGTAGAATGAGCGGGGGCCAGAATCCCGGAAAACATAGAAGTTTAGGGAGTTAGAAATTTCAGAGAGGTAGGGGAGACCGGCGAGTTGCTCAGAGGCAAGTGAGGGAGAAAAAGTTTTTACCTCTTTTGGAGGCGCGACTGGGGTTTTCCCGGAAGAGGCTCCTGTAACTCAGAGGGCGGTGAGCTACCGCCACAAGCCTAGCAGGACCCCAAGTCCTAAACGGGCAAGGGCTTCATTCAGGGCTTTTACCGGCCACATAGAGGGATGCCTGTCACCGAGCAACATGCCCTGACCTCGAGAAGCTCACTTGCGCAAGAAGTTGGATCTGGAGTTAGGAAGAAACTCATAGAATGCGTCCCAGTTGCGCGAGAATGACGGGCGAAAAACAAGGCGCGCTTGGAACTTCGCTAGGATTTCTTTCCCGTGTGGGCCGCTCTTACTGTCTTCCCGGTTTAGCCCCTTGGCACTGACACCATCTGCGGCCAAGGAAGCTAGTCCCGGATTGGTCGCAGACAGGTTGCCGTCCCCGCCCCCGTCTGGCGGGGCGTCCCGTCGCACCAAATCATGTGGCTCCTTCCACCGCGAAAGCACCACCCCGGCCCAGTCCTCTCTTTTCTCTCTTTATTCCCAGCGTGAGCCGGAGGTTAGAGGTATGGAAGGTGGCAGCGGCAAGGCGGATGGCCTGGGACGCACCTTGTGCGTGCTGACCGGGGCCTCCCGCGGCTTCGGCCGGGCGCTGGCAACGCTCTTGGCCCCTCTGCTCTCGCCCGGCTCCGTGATGGTCCTAAACGCCCGCAACGATGAGGCGCTGCGTCAGCTGGAGGCGGAGTTGGGCGCGGGGCGGCTTGGCCTGCGTGTGATGAGGGCGCCCGCCGACCTGGGCACGGAGGCCGGCCTGCAGCATCTGCTCGGTACCCTACGCGAGCTCCCCAAGCCTGAGGGACTGCAGCGACTGCTGCTTATCAACAATGCAGGTAAGACCACCGGGAATTGGGCGGGGGCGGGGCGGACTTCCCATTTGGAATACTGCTTAGCATGCCTTTCTGCTCTCCTTCCCTCCTCCGAACTCTCACTTCCCTCACCGCTTGGGAATGTAAGAGGTCAGATAAGGAGTCCGCTAAGACGCCTCAAGTCCGAAGTGCTCCAGCTTGGGTGGCAGGCGGTGGCGAGGCGTGCAGGAAGAAGACCGGCTGCCCTTGGGGTGCTCCCCTCTACCTCCACCTAGTCCCACCCCGCAGTGAAGCCGGGTTTTCTAAAGCACCCGTAGAACTTTCTCAATCGCCTTGTCGAGCGCCCTCTGGCGGAGGCCTCAGTCGGAGCATAGAGTCTCCAAGCTGCAGAAAATTCCTGGACATCTCCAGAGCTCTCCCCAAGTCCCAGAGTAGGGTAGGCTCCTTCTCAGCCCGCTACTTGGCTACTTACGGGGCGTCTGTTTGCAAAGCTGGAAAAGAAGGAGGTGTCTTCATAAGTGCAACAGGGACTCCTCCCATAGGTCTGGCGGAATTTGGAGAGGGTTGGGGGAGGAGAAAGCCCTGCTGGCATTGGGTGATTCCTAAGGTCTGGTTTTTCACAGCCACTCTTGGGGATGTGTCCAAAGGCTTCGTGGACCTGGCTGACCCAGCTGAAGTGAACAGCTACTGGGCTCTGAACTTGACCTCCATGCTCTGCCTGACCTCCGGCATCCTGAAGGCCTTCCCCCAGAGTCCTGGCCTCAGCAGGACCGTGGTTAACATCTCATCCATCTGTGCCCTGCAGCCCTTCAAGGGCTGGGCACTGTACTGTGCAGGGAAGGCTGCCCGTAACATGATGTTCCAGGTCCTGGCCGCAGAAGAACCTACTGTGAGGGTGCTGAGCTATGCCCCAGGTAGGTAGGCAGTACTGCTATCCCTGCCTCCCAGAACGTGCTGGGCAAGGGAGGTAGTCTGTCCTCTCCAGGGAAGGACCCACAGAGGTAATTGTCCCTGAATCATGACCCATCACCCCTTAGGGAAAATACAGGCTCCAAGGAAATTATAGCAGGTGTGCAAGGAACGGTAGTTAGAGAATGTGGGGAGCTGGCTGGATTGGAAGGCGAGGCAGGAAAGTCTGAGGTATTTGATACAGAATTTGAGAGAAGACCAGGGTTTGAATTCCAGGCCTGTACCCCATTTCTCATGTGAAACAGAGAAGATGCTATGTTAGCACTTCTGATTGTTAGATAGAACTTAGCACATTGTATTATCTTCATATGTTTACTTCTCTCCTTCCCTCACTTGACAGGAAAGCCTTAAGGTAGGGACCGTTCACTATTTATCTGAACATCCCCAACACCTAGCAAAGCTCCTGTCCTCATGAAAATTAAAGGGTAGGGTGTCTTGCGACACCTGGTCTGAGTCTGACTACCCCATCATGACACCACAGTGCCCCTTGAGGTTCCTGGAAGTAGAAGGTGGTGACAGAGCTGTTGTAGAATATCTGAGCCACTTAGATGGAGATCTAATGGTCTATCCCTCTTGAGTTACATATCAGGACTCCAGGGGCAGAGAGGTAGGATGGGCTGCCCAAAGCCCATGTGTGGCAGAGCCAGGATCAAACCTTGCCTCCAAGCTCCTGATCAGTGCTGTTTCCACTTTTTCTCATGATCTCCAGTATCCAGCCCCCACCCTCCCTAACACAGACACTCACTCACATGTTATTCTTAAAGCCAGCATCCACTCAGCACCCTCTCTGAGCCCAGCCTAAGACTCACTCAAACAACAGTGAGCAGAATGAATGAGAAGCCCCCAGGGCCTGAATGAAGGCTGAGACCAGTCTGGTTTTCATTTCAGTGCCAGGAAGAATGTTTAAACAGGTGTCCAGTGATGGAACGGGCTGTTTGGAAAGGTAGCAAGTCCCCTCTCACCAGGGATACACAGGTGGTTAAAAACATTTGAGGATCAGGATGGTAGTTCTCCTTCCAACCCTGAGACTCTGTGATATTCTGCCTTTGAGGATTGTTAACTCTTATACATTCTGGTGTGCTTCCTGTATGAATAATAAACCTACTGCCGTCAAGTCAGTTCCGACTCACAGCGACCCCATAGAGTTTCCAAGGCTGTAACTCTACGGAAGCAGACTGCCACATCTTTCTTGTTCAGAGGTGCTGGTTTGACAGGAGATGATCACCTTAGTTTTAGACATGGTGGTTTGGAGAAAGCATGTTCAGGTGGGCATTGGAATTTGAGCCTAGAACTCAATAGTGACAAAGTGAAGCCCTTGGCAATCCTGACCACACGTCAGCCAACGTGAGTACGGTGCAGTGAATTACTTAATATGTCCCTTCTAGCCATAGTCTTTGTAACTCCCACCAAATGCCTGGGTGGGACTATGCAATGAGGTGCTCGTGGCCCACCAAGGGGATTGGATAGCTTGCTAATACTGTAAATAAGGTGTATGGTACCCTTGTGGGGGTGGAACCATACAAATAAGATGTATGGAACCCTAACGAGGGGATTGGTCAGTTTTGCCATCCTGTTAGGCTTAAAATGAGCCATCCCAGAGACAGAGGGGGAAACCACACTATCACCAATAAAGAAGAGCTAGGAGTGGAGTGTGACCTTTGGACCCAGGATCCCTGCACCAAGAACCTTCTAGACCCAAGAGACAGAACTGTAATAGAGATGGTGAGAGACAGCAAGGAGCAGTGGCAGAGAACAGGTGGCAGCTGAGTCAGCAAAAACAGGAGTCAGCGCGGTGGGCTTATTGGCCCACGGGGAGAGAGCTGAGTGCCTTCGGGCAGAAGGCTTGCTGGCAGAGTGGGGTGTCTCTGGGCACTTATTGGCAGAACTAAAAGAGCTAACACTTCCCTGAGCAGGACAGAGGCCGTCCAGGCCAAGAAGCCCAGGGGCTGAGGGGCTGAGGCCCAGAGAGAGGCGTCCCTGCAGCATAGCTGAGAAGAGGTTGTCCTGTTGGAAGAACTGTGTGCTGAGTTGTTTCTAATCCTGAATTGTAACCTCTTACTTCCCTAATAAGCCCCATAATCATGCCTATTGTGTGTGAGTTCTGTGTGGCCATTGCAACCAATTATCAAACCCAGCAGAGAAGTAGAGAGTGCTGTGGTAGGGGTGGTTAGTGTCAGAATTGGTAAAAAGGTTGGAGAGAGAAGGGATGTGTGACTTCTGCCTCATAGGAATCAAACTTGGGCTGTTGCTTTTGATTATCTCTCCCCCTTGTGAAGTTAGAGGTCAGCCACCTCCACCATGCCATTTTTACAGTGAGGTTTTGTCTCTGGCCACACCTGACTCAGTCTCCCCCCACACCACCCCTGTAGTAGGGGCCCATGTCGCTCTGTCCCTGCCTCAGTCCTGTCCCCTCATCTTCTTCTCTTTGTCCCCTAGGTCCCCTGGACACAGACATGCAACAACTGGCCCGGGAGACCTCTGTGGACCCAGAATTACGACAGCGGCTGCAGGCCCTGAAGACAAAGGGGGAGCTAGTAGACTGTGGAATGTCAGCCCAGAAACTGCTGAGCTTGCTTCAAAAGGACACATTTAAGTCTGGAGCCCATATTGACTTCTATGATAAGTAAGCCCCTGTGCTTGCCTCCCTGGGCCTTCCTGTCCCGCTTACAGGCACACCCCAGAAACCCCATGGCTCCTCACATCCTGCCACAGTGGCATCACCAGTCCTGCCTTAAGTAGATAGGCACTCATGCTTGCTGTCCTGCCTTCAGACACAGCCAGCTGTGAGGGCCCGTGCTTACTAGTTCTCAGGAGTCTGTACTGTGCACCCTGGGTTATGAGGAGTCTTCTGTAGGAGGCTTGGGAAAGAGAAGTTATGGGTATTCGTGTTCTGTATCCCTAGGAATAGATTTTAGGCACGGGAAGGACAGGAAAAGAAGCTGAAACATGGAAGAGAGGAAGCTGGGTCTTCTGCCCATGGCAAGTCCAGGGGGACAGGAGAGGGCGATCTTGGGTCAGAGAGGAGAGCCCATGTAGATTCACAGGTGGCCTGGAGGGGAGGGGGACAGCACAAGTGCCTGCCGTGCAGATGCCCCTTGCCCAGGGTAGCAGGGCCTTCTGATGAACTTCATATCCTATCCTGATGCCTCCTCCCTCCAGAACCTTCCACCCCTCCCCTAGCCAGGGGGAAAGGGCCCTTGAGAGTCTCTGTGTACTTTCCAAAGGCAAATACAAATAAATGTGGAGTGTCCTTTGCTGTAAATCATTAATGTCGGCTTTCTCCTCTGATATAAGGCCCAGCCAGTGACTGACTCCCTGGATATCTGGGCCCAGGGGTATTCATAAGACAATAATCCCAAACCTAGGGTGCTACCCTTATTTCCTGGGGAGTTGTCCTGGGGCTGTCTGCCTCTTCCTGTCAGCGAGCCCCAACCAGTGGCAAGCCCACGTCCAAACAAAGTTGGCTAAGATGGACGTGCCCAGACTCCATTTTTCCTTCAAGCTTTTGCCTTGATTGGCCCAGTTTTTACTGCCCTTTACTCACCTTTGGAGCCTTTGTAGTGCAGTAGTTAAGAACTTGGCTGCTAACTAAAAGGTCGGCAGTTTGAATCCACCAGCTGCTCCTTGGAAACCCAATGGGGTAGTTCTGCTCTGTCCTATAGAGTCGCGATGAGTCAGAATCGACTCAATGGCAGCAGGTTTAGTATGGTTTTTCTTCACTCTTGCGGAGTTCAAAGAGTACCCATCCTTCAGGGTCTTCCCCATGGCCCTTGCTTGTGTGGATGGGTCCTTTCTCTGGTTCACCCCTCTCCCCTGGATTCCCAGTTCTACCCCTTGCTCACTATAGCAATGCTCTGAATGGAATCCCAGCTCCTCATGGGCCTGTCACGAGTCCTGGTAATGTCCATCTGGCTTATGGGTCTGGTCCTCAGTGAGGTGGGTGTAGGATCACTATACCTTTGGGGGAAGTGGACAAGTTTACAAGATAGAAGACCTGAGAAACCAGGGGTGCAACCAAGCTGATCCTTCTGTAGATCCATAGCTGTGGGCAGGCTGGGCGCTCCACAGTGGTGATGATCTGCAGCCAGCCAGCTCCTCACCCTGGCCCATCTTTTTCTGGGAGGAGGAAGCACAGACCTGCTCGTGCAGGAGGGAGCTCTGTGATGCTCCTTGTGCACAGCAGAGGGCGCGCAGAGGCTGTGCCTCCTGGAGAGCTGATGGCATTGCCGGTTGTATGAGGACAGGCCTTGCAGGACAACGGAGCTGGCAGTGCCGTGTGGTCTCTGAGGAGTGAGCGAGCAACTCACTCCCTTAGCTCTCGTGTCGGTCAATAGAACATGCTCCTCACTGGGGTCAGAATCCCAGGCTCTGCTCCCTGCTCTGCCACTTGACAGCGGATGACTCAGGGCAAGTTGCTTCTCTTTTTTGTGCCTCAGTTTCCTTATCTGAAAAGTGTGGATTATAATGGCGCCTACCTCAAAAGGTCGTTGTGAGTATCAAATCACCTAATGTTTGTAAACGATTAGGCAGTGCCTCGCATTGCAGTAAGTACCCCATGAATGCTAGTAGTGTTTATTGACTTTTAATATGCAGATCATCTTGAAGCCCCAATTGCAGCCTTGCCTCCACGAGGCCCAGATGCCCTCCCCTCTGCTGACCTGTGGTAGAACTCTCTGCACTGCTATTCTGCCGGGCCTCGCGGGCCTGGGGTTCAGTCTGGTCAGCTTGTCCTGTGCTCGCTCAGCTGGGGCAAATGCATAAGGCTTGGAGCCAGGGGCGCTCAGCCCCTTCCCTTCTCTGTGACAGATGCTATGGGACCTCGGGCAGGGCCTCCTCCTTCTCTGGGTCTCAGTATCTTTAGAACAGATGAGCACTAAGATTCTTCTTGCAAACCTTCTCTAAGGTGTTTTAAATGTGGGCATGCTGCATCCGATGGCATCGAATTCGGCCTCTGCAGGTGGGTGTGGGCCAGCCTGGACTGCCCCTGTCTGTCGTGGTGGGTGTTGGCTGGATTTCCTCACCCGCCCCTTGCTCCCATGGGGACATGAGAGCAGCCAGGTTGGCCCAACCGCCATTGCTCCATCAGGGTTGACTCTTCCCCTCTCCCCTGGTTAGCACAGGTCTTACTGAGGAGTACCACATGTGTCCACAAGGTGGAGCAGCCCGCACACGTCTGACACTTGAGCGGGGTCAGTGGTTTGGAGCCTTGGAAATGCTTCCTAGGCCTGTCTCTCTCCCAGCAGTCCAGGATTCCGGACTCTCTGGGGGCCCCCAGGGATCTGGGGAGGTCAGAAAGGGTCTGGGATCACTCCCCGTAGCAGGTCGGTACCAAATTCTGACTTAGTTATCTAGTGTTGCTATATAAGAGAAATACCACAAGTGGATGACTTTAACAAAGAGAAATTTATTCTCTCATAGTTTAGGAGGCTAGAAGTCCAAACTCAGGGTGCCAGCTCTAGGGGAAGGCCTTTGTCATCAATCTTCCCTTCCTGTGGTCTAGGAGCTTCTCAGCTCAGGGATCTGGGTCCAAAGGACGTGCTCTGCTCCTGGCACTACTTTCTTGGTGGTATGAGGTCCCCAAGTCTCTGTACTGGCTTCTGTCTTTTATATCTTAAAAGAGATTAGTTTAAAACACAACCTAATCTTGTAGATTGAGTCCTGACTCATTAACATAACTGCTCCTAATCCTTCCTCATTAACATCATAGAGGCAGGATTTACAACACCTAGGAAAATTGCGTCAGATGACAAAATGGTGGACAATCACACAATACTGGGAATCATGGACCAGCCAAATTGACACACATTTTTGGGGGACACAATTCTATCCATAACAGCCTCCTTAGTAACCCACAGGGATTTCCCAGGCCTTACCCAGCCTGAAGGACCCCTCCCAGGCCTGGACTCAGCCTCCTGTTCCCCCGCACCACTGGGGCAGGGAGGTTTGCATGTCAGCCTCCAGGGCTAACCATCTGTGTCCCCCAAGTGTGTGGCCTGGCCTTGGCTACCATACACATGAGCACATGTGAAGACACACACAAATACATGCCTGCACATAGCCAGAGCCCAGCTGCCGGGGTGAGCAGGGCCACAGACCAGCCAAAAGACAAGCAAGGTGTCTCTTTGTCTTTGGTGTGAAAGAACTAGATAGTTTTTTGATTTTGTGTTTAATGCCCTGAGCTGGGGGCCAGCAACCGGCCTGTGAGGAGTAGGAGGGTGAGGGGAATGTTCCAGGCCCACCCCAGGGAGCTCCGGCACCTTTGTGTATGCTGAACTTGCTTGTTCTGCTGCTGCTCACATCCATGAGCATGGCTGGCTGGGACTAGGCTGGTCAGGGCCCCCAGTTCCTGTCCTTCATCCCACGAATACACACGTGTGCCCCAGACCCAGGCTGGTGCCAAAGGCTACTGTTAGTCAACCTGGTGGTGCCCAGCTGCCTCCACCACCCCACTTAGAATCACTGCCTCAGGACATGCTCCAACCTAGCACCTCCTACTGTCTCACCTGGGGAGCTGGGCTCTGGAATGCGGCCCTCTGATCTGCATCCACAGCCACCTCCCTGTGACCTTTCCCCACAGAACGTGGCCTCATATGCTAACATGTATATGCAGTAATTCTTTTTTTTTAATTTTTTCCCATACAAAAATTTAGACATACATTGTTATGTGAAAAATATGGAATGCTTCACGAATTTGTGTGTTGTCCTTGTGCAGGGGCCATGCTAATCTTCTCTGTATCGTTCCAATTTTAGTATATGTGCTGCTGAAGCAAGCTCTATGTGCAGTAATTCTGACACACATAGAAAATATTCACGCCCCTGTGTGTGTGCACAAGAGTGCCCAGCTGCAGACCCTCACACAGGAGCGGATTAGTCGGTACGCCCTGTATGCACCGGCTTACAGTATTCAAGTTATGCATGAGCTTAGTTGTGTTTACTAATCTATAGTGATCAACTTTCCGTGGGTTTCACCGCATCTTTGATGTGGTGCAAACCAGGGAAACTCTGCACTACAGATTAGTAGGTAAAAGCAATTAAGCTCGTGCGTACCTTGCTTATTGGGTAATCTATCCCTGCGAGTCCAGTGGGATACCCTGTGGATAGGGAGGTGGGTGAAGAGCTCTCCTGGGTCTTCTTTCAGTCCGGGGTAGAGACTCCACAGGGTGATATCTCTCTCTCCTCCAAGGGCATCTCTCAGTGATCTGGGGTGTGGGGAGGAAGGCAGTGGACTAAAAACCACTAGTCAGCTTGCAGGTTACTTAGCTGAGGACTCACTCTGAGATTTTGGGGTCAGTTGGGGGAGGGGTTGAAAGGTGGGGATGCTACAGAGAGGATGAGTGTAGAGGATGGATCAGGCCATTCTTGTTCCCCCTCCCCAATCCTGGGATATTCCACCTGCAGTGCTGGGGGCAGGGAGGAGCACCCACCTCCCCACTTTCACCCCTGAATTACTGTCAGTCCCAGCAAGATCCCCCACCTCACCCTTTGTATCTCATTTCACCACTAGAAAACGGCATGCTGTGTGTTTTTCCCTCAGCCCTAACTAACCTCAACATCAGTGAGGAGAGCCCTGAACTGTTCTTGGTGTGGGGCTGGGTGGGCGGTGGGGGGTGGGAGGAAGGGAGGGAGAAGGAAATTCCTTTCTTCCTTTGGGGGATCCACCTCTCAGGTCCCCCAGCTCCTCAGCTAACTAACCCAAAAGCTGTCTAGTGGTCTCTTAGTCTACTACTCTGCTTACTCCATCCCCAACACCAGGTCAAGGGGAGAGAGAGACCTGGGTCCCACTCCCTCCCAGACCTGGCACCTCCTCTTGGAGCTGCAGGAATCTCTCTGGCCCATACTGTTTCAGGCCTTAGTTCAATGACTGCTGAGGACTTTCCTGCCTGGGCCTGCAGTAGGGTTGGGGCCCTACTCTTTCTAAGCCCCAGCTTGATCTCATGGATCCAGGGGCTCAGTCTCAAGGAGCTATGGGTATCCCACAGCCCTTACTCAGCCCAACACATGGAGGCACTGATGAGTATTTGATGTCTGATGAATGAATGAGTGAGTGAATGCCGTTTCAGACCACTGCCAAGTATACAGTGAAGCATTTGAAAGGGCTTGTGTGTGATGAGTGGTGGCTGGGAGGCAGGCCTCTGCAGATAAGGCCCAGCTAGATGGGCCCCCAGCCAGCCAGGCATCCCCATTGTGGGGGCTCAAACCCTTCTTTGCTTCCTCCTGGGAGTTCAAAGTGGAAAGCCCACATGTGTTTTTTGTG